AGTCCTGGACCTTTGCTCTCGTTTGCAGTTGTACCAGCTATGCTCTTTACTTTCGCCGTTGCTTTTGCTTTCGCTGTTGGTTTAGCTTTTGCTTTTGCCGTACTAACAAAGGAATACAAATTATTAAAACATCAAATAATGATATAAAATATATTATTTGTAAAATATATTTTCTTTTACCTTGTCCCTGTTTTTTTAAATTTTTTATTTGCACTTTGGTAATTACTTTTAGCCTTGCGCTTCTTACCAGCGACTGATTTGTATTTATTAGTGGAAGTAGAAACGCTAGACCACGTATCGTCTTCATCTTCTTCGTTATCAATAGCTTCGTGTTCATCAGCCATCAAAGCTATTAAAAACAATAAACATTCATTGAAATAATCTTCACAATAAGAAAATATAGAATGCAATAATCATTTACCATGTTTTTCTGCGGCATACTTTTGCGTTATGTCGAGCAATGCTTTACCATATTTCTCAAAATTTGCTTTAGTTACATGCGGGATCTTTAACATAGCTTCCGCACTGTCCGGAAGACTTTGACTCATGGCTCTAACTGCTATCATATTCATAACTGAAGATGCTGAAATATCCAGTGCTCCAGCGATTCCTTTTATTATTTCCATTAATTCTTTGTAGCATTTTTCTTGTAATTCTAAGAGTGCGCCATTTATCGCCTGTGGAACTGCAGTTACTGTTGCTACGGCAGTAGTAGTATTAGATGATCTCATAGGAATTATCACCTAATTTGAAAGATATTACTAATTAATAGTTCAAATTGAAGTTCAATTCTTAATTTATTATTTCTACCTTAGTGTCTTTCTTAGTCATGAGTTCAGCAGCATTTTGCCCAATTTTTACGTAGACACAAACAAAGTCATTTACAGTTATATGCATATTCTCTTGCAAATATTCTTTGAGCACCATGTAATGTAACAGACGTTCAATATCACCTCTATTCCATGACCTACCACGACCATACAAAGGATGCTTAGTAAGGCCTATGCAAATAATTATATATATATATAATCAAATGAATATAGATATGATAAGAGAAAAATTCAAATTTCATACCTGCTTCTCTCAGTTTCTTGAGATCACACCCTTTAAATATATCTGTAAGCATCACCATCGTAAGATTGCAACTTCTGGATTGAACAATATCCCGCACAGCTTTCGTTATTTGTTTTGCATCTTCTGTTGCATCAAACATATTAAAATCATCCTAAACATAATTCATATTAACTTCCTATACAATTTGAGTAAAAAAATAGAATGTTTGCATTTCTAATTTACATACTTTACATCTGCAGTTATCGCAGGATGTTGCTTTGTTTGCCACACACTGCTGTCGGTCATATATCTCCCCGAAATAATTCAATTGCAATTGTCTACGACAGTCTGTCTTATTTTCACAAAACGATACCATTTTAAACAAATTGTCCATATGAGTTCTCAACACATTGGGATTAGGATTGTCTTGTTCCACCATTTTTCGAATCCTATATACATCCGCGTAATTATAAAACAAAATACAGTCTGCATTCGCACCATCGCGGCCAGCGCGTCCACTCTCTTGATAATAACCTTCTATAGACTTAGGAAGCACTGCGTGTATAACGAAACGCACATTCGGTTTGTCAATACCCATCCCAAATGCTATCGTCGCGCACACAACTTGAATCTAAAATTCATATTTATTTATATAATTATTAAAGAATAAGCTGGCACGGAAATATATATGATAATGATAAATTAATTATTAAAACAATTTATATCATGCAATTTAAAAATAAATAAATAAATAAAAGTATTGAATCTAAAACATACTTCTTCTGAAATCCATCGGCCTTGAATTTCACTTCTTTTATTATCTGCATGGCCAGCATGGTAACTTAATGCTTTAATTCCGTTTTCTTTCATCTGTGCCGCAAAGGTGTCACACTCTTTACGCGACAGACAATAGACAATACCTGATTCTTTCTTGTACTTTGTTTTTATCAAAGCTATCACTTCATCCGAACAATTTTTACCTTTCTTCGCAAT